ACCTCAAACTCTTGAGCTCAGCAATTCTCTTGCCTCAGCCTCCCAAGTATCTGGGACTATAGGCACCTGCCACAACGTCCAGCTATTTTTATTTTTATTCATTTATTTATTTTGAGACAAAGTCTTACTTTGTTGCCCTGGGTAGAGTGCCATGGCATCATAGCTCATAGCAACATCAAACTCTTGGGCTCAAGTGATTCTCTTACCTCAGTCTCCCAAGTAACTTGGGACTACAGGCGCCCACCACAATGCCTGGCTATTTTTAGAGATAGGGTCTCACTCAGGCTGGCCTCAAACCCATGAGCTCAGGCAATCCACCCACCTCAGCCTCCCAGAGTGCTGGGATTATAGGCATGAGCCATCGTGCCCAGTCCTCAAGATCTCACTTTATCCTCACATCCAAGCCAAAAGGCAAAGATTATCACTGAGGTCCAGAGAGACGAAGTCACTTACACACATAGTTATTAGGTGGCTAAGTCAGAATTTGAAGCTCAGTGTCTGTGATTCCTGAACTGATTTTCACTCCTCCATTCTGGGCCTTTCCAACCTTAACAGCCCTAGCTACTGTCCCTCCTAAGCTCTGGTGGGTGCCCACGCTCCTCCCCACAACAGTCACCCTTCTGCTCTTTCCAAAAACTAGAACTAGATGCCCCCAGACAAGCAAGAGCCAAGTGGCATGGAACAGAGCATCCCACAGTCTCCTCCTTTGCCTGGTGAACCTTGCTATTGACATGTCCTCAAAGCACAGTGGCTGGTAATCTTGTCACTGAGCTGACTACAGGGAAAAGTTAGAGTATCAAAGAAAGGACTGGGTCCAGTGGTTTCTTTGTAGCCTTGCTCCAGCACCAAGCAGGCCCTTAGGGGATGCTGGGAGCTCCTTTTCCTCAGCTTCTGCCAGGAACTGGCCTCTCCTGCTGGAGAGTGGCCAGGGAAGCTGATCCTCACCATCCCACAGCATTCAGGTCAGGCTTGGTGGAAAAATAGTCTGGGGGTGGTGGTGGAACTTACGACTTTCTCAAATTCACCTCAAATAGCCTACTGAATGGAAGAAAGTCACGAGCAACCCGTCCCCATGCCGACCCCACCCTGTACCCCACGGGCACCTGGAGCATCGCCTGGGGCTCAGCACCCTCCTCAGACACGTGCACTCGGGCCCGGCCACTCCGTTCGTTGTCCCGTATGCCCTTGGACACCTGTGTGGCCTTCAGTCTTTCAAATCGGCTGCTGCCAGAACCGCACCACTGGTAGATGTCCTGGAAGACAGAGACCCCAGTAAGTCAGGGTCCCCCCTGCCCAGCAACAGGCCTGGGAGGACACTGCGGGGTGTATGTACACAAGCTCGCCTTGCTCTGTGCTGGGCAGGTGAGGGTTTGCACATGTGCACTGCCCATGTACAATAAGTGTGACCCCTCCCACCAGGAGATGTGAATCTATGTCTGGGGATGTGTCTTTTTTCATAGGTACAACCACATCTAGAATGTACCGGAAAATGTTTGCCTGCTGAGGGGAATGTGAACTAGAACAACCACTTTGGAAAACCATTCAGCCACAGCTACCAAAGCTCAATGTACCTGATACCTTACTCAGACACCGGAAGGCCTGAGCGAGAATGTTCAAAGTACACTACTCATAACAGCCCAAATCAGAAACCCCCCACGTGTGCAGCAACGTCATAAAGGATAAATTGTGGCACACCCACGCAAATGAATGTTAGGAAGCAAGGAGAATCCACAGCTAAATGGAACAGTGTGGAGGAGTCTTGGAAATGTAATGCTGAGCGAGAGAAGTCAGACAGAGTAAGGGTCCACGGTGGTTCAGAAACAGGCAAAACTAATCTCTGCTACTGAGAAAGTTCAGGGTAATGGCTGCTCTTGGAGTGAAGGGACCAGAAGAGGGAAACAGGGGCCCTTCTGGAGGGCGGGGTTGGTGAGGTTCTGTTTCTTGATTTAGTGTGACATGGGCGTTTTCATGCTGTGAAATCCACAGAGCTGCACACTCAGGATTCACACTTTGCTGTGTGCCTACTATATACTAATAAAAATATTACACGGTGTCATTGTGTGCCTACGTCTGCGTGGACAGTATACACATACCACAGATACATATGCACAGGAGGTGTGGGCTAGAATGCCTGGCCATGTCCATTTGCAGGTCTGTGCTCACACTAATTTTTTTTTTTTTTTTTTTGAGGCAGAGCCTCAAGCTGTCCCCCTGGGTAGAGTGCCGTGGCATTACAGCTCACAGCAACCTTCAACTCCTGGGCTCAAGCGAGTCTCCTGCCTCCACCTCCCAAGTAGCTGGGACCACAGGCGCCCACCACAACACCCAGCTATTTTTTGGTTGCAGCCGTTGTTGTTCAGTGGGCCCGGGCTGGATTCAAACCTGCCAGCTCCGGTGTATGTGGCTGGTGCCTTAGCCGCTTGAGCCACAGGCACCGAGTCTCACACTGATTTTTGTGGTGTGTACAAAGCATCACACATCTATAAGGTCTCTAGGGAAGTGCCTTCCACACACATTGACATAAAAGGTGCATGGGCAACTACATGTATGATATACACACATGTGAGACCTTGAACAACACACTCAAGTCTACATGTGTGGGCATTCACTATGGTACATATGTCCATGCCAGGCAGGCAAAAGCCTATAGTTTTTACTTAGCATGGCTGCTAAGAATTTAAAAGCAAGTGACTATAAGTAAAAAGGTACCCAAAATATGTGTATGAACAGAACGCATCAGGAAGTCTATATGTCAATCAAAGTCCAAGTACACTATGCATCTGGTATGCCCTTGAGGTCTGTGCGTGACAAGCTTGAGTCTACCCATGTGGGAGCCTATGAACACCAGAAATATCTGTACCTGGGGCTCTGTCTGACTCACACAAAGTGCATAGGACCCCTGTAGCTTGCCCCGCCCGTGTTTATGCATGTTCATGAGAGTGTACCCATGTGCCCGGAGTCAGGCCCTACCAGACCAGGAGCACCCCAGTGGCCCTGGGAAAAAACAAGGCAGGACTCACGTTGCCCAGATCCAGGATGAAACAGTCACCATTGTTGAAGCTCTCCCAGGACACAGGCACCTCAGTGGCACGGACCACACGCCGCCCTTTGACCTGGAAGAGTCTCTGCACCACCACCTCATTGGGTACCACGTGCTTGAATCCCGATGCCACGCCTCCTTTCTGTTGGGTCAAGGAGACAGTGTTAGTTGAGTAGAGAGGGTCCAGAGAAGCAGATACAGGGGAAGGGATAGGATGGATGTAAGGGAAATCCTGGCCTCTGGACTAGAGGCCTTCCAGCAACATAGTAATTCTCAGTTCACTCAGGACTTTCGACCCACCATCTTGTTTGAGACTGGGACATTGTTATGCACATTTCAAAGAAGGAAACAGAAATTCAGAAAAGGAAGAAAATTTGTCCAAGGCCACACCAGTGAAAAGTAACAGATTCCCTACCCACTGCATCTTACTGTCACTCCTTTGAATCTCAATTCCACTAACAAAGACTCGTGGAGCTACTTCCCTGAATCAAAGAACTGCAAATGTTCCTTTCTCAAAACCAGTATTTCCCAAGAGACATTCTAAGATAGTCTGCAATTGGGCACGGAAAGAGTTCCATGACTATTACACAACCTATATAAGCATAATAAAGACTCCAGCAAACAGGCAGCACCTGTGGCTCAGTGGGTAGGGCACCTGCCCCATATACCGAGGGTGACAGGTTCGAACCCAGCCCCAGCCAGCTAAAACACCAGTGGCAACTGCAATAAAAATAGCCAGGTATTGTGGTGGGTACCTGTAGTCCCAGCAACTCAGGAGGCTGAGGCAAGAGAATCACCCTAGCCCAAGAGCTGGAGGTTGCTGTGAGCTGTGAGCTGTGAGGCCACAGCACTCTACTGAGGGTGACAAAGTGAGACTCTGTCTCTAAAAAAAAAAAAAAGACTCCGGCAAATCCTTTGGTGAATACATCCCTTGACTTTTGTTTTACATAGTATTTCTCTACCTTGAATCAAGAACTACTGTTCTCTACCACATTCTCCCTTTAGCTCAAGTGTTCTTTGAGAAATGCAAATCCAAATCTTTCCCATCCTTTGAGGCCTTCTAGGAAGTCATTTTGGACTGCTCCAGCCCACACCACCCATCTCCTTAGTCCTAGGATTGCAGCAAATCTCACCCAGCTATGCCTTCAGAGGCAGATGTGAGTAAGCGGTAGCTGCTCTGCCTCGATAGTGCTGGCTGACTGACTTTGGGCAAGTGTCTTGCCCTTTCTGAGCCTCAGGACTCTCCTTTCTGAAATGGAGACAAAACCTCCTGCTCTGCCACTCTCTGCAATGGAGCAGTCCCCAGCCCAACGCTGAAAAGGTCCTTCTATAGTACCCCAGTTTACTCAACATAAGCTGAAGCCCAGAGAAACTAATCATAATTTTGGAGGGCAGGAAAAAGGGAGCCAGTTTAAACTGGGCCCCATTACATCCACCCCTAGTAAGCAACAGATAAGTGTGCATGAAATGATTCTGCCCACTGTGCTGGGTGTCTGCACAAATCTTCTGTGAAGGAGGTATTATTATCCCCATGTCACAGATGAGGAAAGTAGGGCCTGTCGGTGGAGGGATTTGCCCTAAATCTTATGGGTGGTAGATGGTGGAGCTAGAATTCAAACCCAGGTATGTCTGAATCTGTAAGTCCCCCAATATCAGGTTTACTTAGGGCAAAGGTCACTAGGGTCAAGAAGAACAGGAGGGGGAAACAAGCCACTGTTCAGAGCCATCTTTTAGTGAGTAGAAATGCATTTTTCTAGGGACAGATGCAAAGGTTCACACCTATAATCCTAGCACTCTGGGAGGCCAAGGCGGGTGGATTGCTTGAGCTAAGGAGTTTGAGACCAACTTTAGGTAGGCCAGGGGCAGTGGCTCACACCTGTAATCCCAGTACTCTGGGAGGCCAAGGTGGGTGGATTGGCTGAGCTCACGTGTTTGAGACCACCCTAAGCCAGAGCGAGACCCTGTCTCTAAAAACAGCCGGACACCATGGCGGGAGCCTGTAGTCCCAGCTATTCGGGAGGCTGAGGCAAGAGAATCTCTTGAGCCCAAGAGTCTGAGGTTGCTGTGAGCTGTGATGCCATAGCACTCCACCGACGGTGACAAAGTGAGATCTCTGTCTCGAAAAAAAGAAAAAAGACCAGCCTGAGCAATAGCGAGACTCCATCTCTACTAAAAATAGAAAAACTGAGGCAAGATGAGCACTTGAGCCCAAGAGCTTGAAGTTGCTGTGAGCAGGATGCCAGAGTGAGACGATGTCTCCAAAAAAAAAAAAAAAAGCATTTTCCTGGAGCAGGTAGTTGGAGCGCCCTCTGGTGTTCTTTCTTGGTCTTAGCAAAAGGGCTTTACAGAGCTGCTTCGGGCTTGGGAGGGTAGTGGGTCTTTCTGCCCTGCTTCAAGGGCCCTTCAAAGGAAGCTGTGGTTTGGCCACTCTGTATGAACTACCTCAGTGTAGAGCCGAGGCTTCCACTCCTGACTTCGCCACCCACAACTAACAGGACAGTAACTGCTGCCAACATTTGGGAAGAGTTGAATTTGGGTCCCAGGGTGAGAAGCCAGGTCTGAGGGGCCTCAAGGGCTGGATGGTCCTGATGCCAAGGATCTGAGTGCAAAAGACATAGGTCAGGGCAGTAGAGGGGAAGTACACAGAGACAAGAAGGTCCTAAGAGTGATGTAACCAAGTCTGGTTGGGAGCAGGTGAGGAAGAGCAGCCAGGGAAGACACTGCTATGCCCTGCACTCACCTGTGCTCACCTGTAATGACCACAGTGGCTACCACTCACTGGGACACCTGCTTTACATGTGCAGACTGCAGTCCTGACAACAAGCTCCTGAGACAGGAACTCACCATCCCATTTCACAAGCAAAGAAACTAAAGTGTAGAGTGGTTCAGACTATGCCCAGGGCCCCAAGGACTGGGCCTTACACATCTGCCAGTCCAGGAATTCCTGGGTGCCTATGGGGCAGCCCTGGCTGTGGGGAAGAAATTCTCAGGACCCTGACAAAAGGACAGCTAGTTGATAGACAGAGAAAGATAGCAAGCCAGAAACCAACTGCATGATTACAGCAACAACCTTTCCATACTCATGTAAATCCTTACAACCCTAACAAAAACACAGCCATCCTTCCTCGGAGAATGGCTACTGATAGAAAGCAGGTCAGAAACCAAATGGCATGGTCACAGCAACTCACTCCCCATCCCCTTGAAAGGCTTCAAGGCCGGTGTTCCTGGGAAGCATCAGGACCTCCTACCCTGGTCCTGGCTGGCACTAGAGATAAGGCCTTCCTGCAAGATTAACAGCTTTTGTGGCAGGCAGTAAAGTGTAAAATCAGTCTGGGATACAAAATCATTCACTCTGCAGGAAAGATGACTTCCCTCACCTCTCACGACCCCTCCTACACTAATAAAAACTACACTAATAAAAGCCCCTTAAAACTATATGAGCTGGGCTGACTTCTGGTCAGACTCCATTCTGCCCCTTTAAAATAAAGCCTATCCTCAATCCCTGGATTGGCCTCCTCTCCTTCTTGTGGACCCTGGGTAAACTAACCCTAAACCTCTCACTGACCAGTGACTTCATTCAGCTGAATGTAAAGAGAGTGGATCAGAAAACCTTTTTCAAAAGGTGCTACAAGGACCTACTCACCATTTCAATGGATTCCTCAGAGACAAGGAAATGAGGAAACAGGAGGAAAGAAAGATCATTAAGTTTTTTTATACACCTCTAAAATATTTTACTCTTTCAAGTCTGCCTTTCATTTTTGTTATTTAAAAAAAAATTTTAAAAGGTGGCACCCATACCTCAGTGGGTAAGGTGCCTGCCACATACACCCAGGCTGACAGCTTCGAAATAACAAAAAACATTTTTTTAAGGCAAAGAGTTGCCTTATATCATAAATCTCCATTCTCAGAACTTCTCTGTATATTTATTTATAAAATAAAAAAACACAAAAGCCACTTTCCAAATGGAAGGGATATATCTTCAGGGAGAGAGAAAAAAATTAACCACCATTTGGTATATCATCTCCAACGGTAGAATCAAAGGGGCAGGGATCTATCTTTCTATAAAATATTTGATATTTTACAATAAGCTTATATTACTCTTACATTCAGGAGCAAAGAAAAAAACCATAAAGATTTACATGAAAAAATTTTAAACTGCCAGGCAACGCCTCTGGCTCAAAGGAGTAGGGCACCAGCCCCATATGCCAGAGGTGGTGGGTTCAAACCCAGCCCTGGCCAGAAACTGCAAAAAAAAGAAAAAAAGAAAAAAAATTTTAAACTGCTTATAAAACAAAGAAAAATAAATTGATCAGGGTTAGTCCCCTCCCCTTTCAAAACTCAGAGTTCTTTATCTAAGAAATAGGAGGGGCTAAAGTGATTCAATGGTTTCCAATTGTGTTCCTTGGGTTCCCAGGTTCCTAGGACTCTGCCCAGCCCAGATTCTATTTGAACAAAAGGTTTCAAATAACCCAGCCTCAGGGGGTCTTCAGGGTTCAGTCTGAAAATAGAAGGTGGGAGGAAAATAGAAGGTGGGAGGAAAATATAAGGTGGGAGAAGGAAAAGGAGAGAGAAAGGGATTCTGAACCCTGTAACAGTGAATGAATTTAAGGCTTTGAGGGTCGCAGAGTACAGGGCCCCACACTGGCCCTTTCTAGTGGCTCCCTGTCCCTTCCTTGCCCTTTCTCACACTCTTGAGGGCAGAATTGGCTCAGAGGAAGAGGCTTTCACAGGAACAAGTCTTGCGTAACAAGCCCTGCTCCTGAGGGATCTATAATTGATGAGGGCACCAGGCCAAGAACCTTGGGCTGGACCTGCCGAGTGCGGGGGCAGCCTGAGGACTTGCAGAAGGTGTAAACAGGACCAGCCTTGAACCTCCCATTTCAACCAGGAGCCAGTGCCTTTCAGGACTGAAGGCCTAAATCTGGAGTACTCCTCAGAGTGTGGTCCAAGAACATCCCAGAAAATCACTGGGGGCTGGGGAAGCTTACTAAACAAGCAGACTCTACACCCCAGGCGAGCCAAGATCCAAGATCAGGAAGTCTTGAAATGTCTACTCTGAAGTAACTCTGTGCTAAGGCTCTTCACACCTGGGTTTAAATCCCAGTTCCATCATTTCCTAGCTGTGTGACCTTGGACATGTTGCTTAACATCTCTGCGCCTTAGCTTCCCTGTTTATCAAATGGTGCTAGTACTAGTAACCACCTCATAGGGTAAAAATGAGTTAAATGAGTAAAGTACCCAGAAGAGTCTCAGACACATAGCAAGCAATTTATATGTTCAATGAAAAGCATTTTCCTCCAGCTGTGTGAACTTTGCCATGATAGTTCACCGCACTGAGCCTCGACTTCCTCACCTATAAAATGGGAACATCGCCACCCACCCTGAAGGGATACAGTGAGGATTCAATGCAATACTGTAGTAAAGGCTTGATACATGGTAGCAGTTCTTATCATCTTCATTTACCCCTAAAGACTGGGGAGCTTGTCACCTGCTCTGCAACATTCTCTAACCTGGAAAATTGTCTTTCTTGTGTACAGGAGGAACGTTCATATTTGTGACAATGAGAGACTGTCAGGCTTAGCCTCTAAGAAATGGCTGACTGAGGCAAAAGAGATGAGCAAACCCTCAAGTCCTTGAGCTCCTTGAAGAGCTGAGCCCTCCCTGAGATTCCCCTATAACTCACCCCAGCCCCATGCACACACGGAGTGGCCTTTCCTGAGCCTGCCAGACTCCCCTACCCCTCAGGGCACTGTCAAGGGCAGGGACCTATCATTTTCACCTGGGCACCCAACACCCAACACCCAACCAAGAGCCTGCAGAGTTGGGGGAACAGAGGTCTGGATTTGAATGTGGCCTCTGTGACCTTTCTGAGCCTCCAGTCTCCTCCTCTGTAGAATGGAGCTCTAATTACCTCCCTCCCAGGAGAGATGTGAGGCGTCTTTCTTTATTTATTTTTGAGACAGCGTCTCACTTTGTTGATCTCGGTAGAGTGCCGTGGCATCACAGTTTGCAAGCAACCTCAAACTCTTGGGCTTAAGTGATTCTTTTGCCTCAGCCTCCCAAGTAGCTGGGACTACAGGCACCTACCACAACGTCTGGCTATTTTTTCAGAGATGAGGTCTCACTCTGGCTCAGGCTTGTCTTAAACTTGTAAGCTCAGGCAATCTACCCACCTTGGCCTTCCAGAATGCTGAGATTACAGGCGTGAGCTACTGCACCCGGCCAGATGTGAAGTTTATTAAGACGCACTCCCCTATGCCTGCCACATGGCAGCAACAGGCAGGCACAGGCCCTCAGTCAATATTTGCTGAATGAATGATGCATGGGAAGGTGTAAGAACACACGCCTAGAAGTACACAACTTGCCCAAAATCGACCTGAATTCCAATCTCCCTGATTCTTGGCCAAGTGCTCTGTCACTTCTTGCTCCAGGAGTTGTGAGAAGGCCTAGTCCTTCTCCAGCTCAGAGGCCTGGTCCCCAACATTTGCATCTCTCCTCCTGCAGGGTACAAAGGCCCCAGAAAGGGCTGTAGGAAGAAGGCAGAGCTGGACAGCTCAGCAGGAGGAGGTCAGCGAGAAGAGAAACAGGCAGACCAGGAGCTGGCTACCTTCCGGGCAATCCAGCTCAAACCTGCCCAGCCCCAGCTGCTGTTCCCAGGACACACCTTGCCCTTTGCTATCTGAGTCTCCCTGACACTGTCCCATCATTCAGTCCTTTGTACCTCACCCACGCAGATAAGGTCACTACTGCATTGACATAGAAGACCTAGAGGCCCAGAGAGGGACCGTGACAGCTCTAAGGTCACACAGTGCACCAGTGGCACAGAGAGGGCTTGAACCCTATCCTAGAACTCTGGTCATGAGAGGCATGTTGGTTTAGTGGAAAGAACACTTGGGGTCAGGAGATCTGGGTTCTTGTCCTGGGTCTGGCACCAACTCTGGGTGACTGGAGCCCAGTTACTTAAACCTCTCTGTGCCTCAGTTCCTCCTCCCTCTGTAAAAAGAGATTTAGATTCTGACATTAAGGTGCATTTGACTCTTAAAGCTTGACCCTTCCTATCCTTACCAGAGAGAACACCAGCTTTGCAAAACTAGAGCTTTCCCAGAGCCCTTCCAAGAAGCTAAGCCCTGTGCAAGGTATTTCCTAGCTATACTGTCACTAAATCTGCCCCCAGCCCTGTAGGGCAGGTAGGACTGGCTCTCATGTGACCAGAGAGGAAAGGGAAGCTCAAGAGTAGGGTTTTAGGGTAGGGATCAAGTGGTTTGCTGGATGTCACACAGTACATTAGGGTGCAGCCTCCTGAGTGTCCCAGCCTGGCTTTGCTCAGCCATACCTGGCTAGGACCTTGGAGAAAGAGCTATGTCTTGGCTAAGACTTTGAAGCCAAGAGGGGGGTTCTACTGAATAGAAAGAGGGATGTGACTAAGAGGGCCCTACCAAGTGCCTAACATGGGGTCTTTGATTGGCAGGGCCCTAAGAATTAAGGAGTGCAAGAACAGAACTCAGCCCAAGCCCTCTGGGGCCTGTGAGAAAGGCTGGGTTTCCACTTAGGAACCACTCCTAAGTGGGAGTGTTGCTGGGGCTAGGAAGATAGCACTACAAAGTTAGGGGGATTTTCTTTTCCCCATTTTAAAAAACCAGAGGCTCAGAAAGGGAGTGTGGTTTGTCCAAGGTCACACAGCTGGAAAAGGCCCAGAATTTAAACCCAGTGTTGGTTGACTCCAAAGCCTGACCTCTGACCTGCCTATCCATCACCCCACAAGGCCAAAAAAGCAAGTGAGCCCTGTTAATGGTGCATCTGTCTCTGTCACTCAACCAAGATGGGGGCCCAACCCACCTTGTACTTCAGGCCAGACTTGAAGTAGCCGAGGAAGGTGGCTGACTCGAAGCCCTGGACCTCCCGGTGCTGCACAGCCCGGCCATTCAGGTAGTCGTCCAACTGCACGGTAAAGATAGCGGCCGCTCCGCTCTCATCCTGGCTGCACTCGTTGCCTAGGGAACATCAGAGTGGCATGAGCCTGACTTTCCAAAAGTGGTTCCGGGTCCCTGGGGAGGAGCAGAAGGAGCCTCGAGCATTGCTCTAGCCTAGCTGTGGAAGTGGGGCAAGCCTCTGTCTTCCGTGAGCCTCGGTTAATGCATCTGGATAATAGGACAGTAGACCTTATCTTCCCTCTAAAGGTCCTCTCAGCTCTGACACATTCTCCTTCACTCACTCTCAGCCCTCCCGAGCATGAACTCAGGACTGGGAGTCTACTCAATCCACATCATATTAGGAAACTGAGCCTCAGTAAAGGGACAGGACTCTAAGATCCTAACTCTGAAGGGCAAACTGGAGTAACTGGAATGGGCCCAGGGAAGCTGTGGAGGGGTCCAGGGCTCCCTAGTCACCCCCAGTAACTTGTATAACCCTTAGAACATTCCTGGGAGAGGTAGTGCACCTCTATAACCATGTCCACTCCACAGAGACACTGAGTGACCTGCTAAAGGCAGATGATGGGTCACGGGCAGAGCTGGGGTCTGAACTCAGCAAGGCTGGCTCTAAAGTGTGAGATCACTGGTAACTACTTGCCAAGGGCCTGGCACATACTTGGTGTTCAAAAATCAGTTCACTTCCTTGGCACTTCCTAGGGACTTCTGAGGGACCATAACTCAAAGGTCCCTGCTGTTCAGGGTAGAGGCCTAGGGCAGGGTTGGCCAGGGCGGCCTCACCCAGCCAGTAGTGGAGGTCGTACTGCAGATTTCCATTCCTCAGCTGCACCGTCTTCAGGATGACGTAGGCATCACCCGAGAAGAAGTCTCCATAGAGGTTGGTGGGCACGGGCACTAGGTCGAACTTCTCCACACGCCAGATCTGCAGGCCAGGCTCCTTCCCTGCCTTGAGGAACTCAGGGTGTTCCACCACCATGCTGCCGGGCTAGGGAGAGACGGGGCAAAGCCTGAGTAGGGCCCGGGTTCGGCAGGGAGAGACCCGGGGCACGAGGGAGGGTGGTTTCCAGCACCAAGAGCATCTCACTTGAGCCTCCTGCTCTCCCCATGCCCAAGGCGAACCCATCCCCTTCTGAACACTCCTGTCTCCATGAGTTAGCAAACAATCCCGTGCCTTGGCCAGCATCTGTCTCTTTTGCTCAGCTCCCCGATCTGCTTTTTTCTGGTGAAGGAGGGGACAGAGGGCTTTATCTCCCTGCTTCCTTCTCTTCTTGTTGCCAATTGGATATGACAGCTGAGGCACAGAGAGGTGAAGCAACTCTATCAGGGACCTAGCGTAGCAGGGACTGCCCCCGTCTCCAAGAGCACAAACTCTTGAGACGAAGAGTAAGTAGACCCCTCAGATGACAAAGGTGCATCTAGGGGCCCCCGAGGCTCAGCTTGCTTCCTTCCGACATCCTCAATGGTTCTTAGAAGTAAAGGGCCCTTTGAGAGCTCATCCAATCCCACACTGCAGATAGGGAAACTGAGGCCCAAAGAGGAGAGGGAACTGGCCCAAGGTCATGCAGCCTGTTTGCTTTTGCTCTCTGGAAATGGGAAGATTTCCCATGCCCCATTCACCCCCTATCATATCCCTAAGAAGGGTCTAGATGGCTGAGCCCAAGTGGCCTCCTGAGCTGTCTGCCTCCTCCCTCCTGCCCCACAGCTCCCCACCCCCAAATTCCATTTTTTTGAAAAGGTAGAGAGGACGCAGCCAGGGTCTGCAGGAGCCTTTTAGAGAGGAGGTGGTTAAGGATGGGGAAAGGCTGTCACACATGCACTGGGGTCGAGAGGGGCAGACGCAGGAGGGTTAGGCTGGAGTCCGAGGGCAGAAATCAGCAGGTACACGCAGGTCACCTCGGGCCGGAGGGGAGAGCTGGTAGGAGTGAAAGTCAGATGGGAGAAGTCAGAGAAATCAGATGGACAGAAGAACTCAGGCAGAAGGGTGACTAACAGGAGAGAGGAGAAGCAGCGGAATGGGGCAGCGGAGACGGCAGAAAGGGAGAAGAAAGGCAATGAGATAGGCAGACATACAAGAAAGAAACCGTGCAAGAAGAGGCAGAAACAGAAAAAAGGGAGAGAGAAGTCAAATGAGGCCAAGGGATCCGAAAGGAAGAAGAAAGCAGAACACAGGAGAGAAACCTGCAAGAGAAGAGGAGAAACTAGACAAGGCATTGGAGGAGCCAGGTGGCAGAGATGGGTAGACATCAGAAGGGAGCAAAGGAATAGAATCCGGCCAAGGTGAGGTTATAACTCTTGGGAGGGAAATAGCCAGGGCCCGACGCTCCCACCCCTCTCCGCGAAGAGACCCGAAAGCAGCCAGAGATACTTACAAAGCAACAAAACAGTTTTTCCATTCTAGACCTGAATTATTCCCCTTTTCCTAGCGCTGTATCTGCAAGAACTTACAATAGAGAGTTACTCCGGGAGCCCCGGGGCCCCCCGGGCACTCACCTGCGCCGTAGGCACCCGCCCCTGCGGCGCCTGCGCCTGGGCCGCCCCCCGCGACGCGGTGGCCGAGCGGGCGGGTGGCAACAGCGCGCACAGGGCCAGGACCAGCGCGCTGAGCAGCGCGAGCGCGGAGCGGTGCGGAGCCATGGCAGCTACAGCGGCAGCGCACCCAGTCGGCAGCCTCGACCTCTGGGTCGAGGATCTTAAGTAGCTGCCATCCCATCCCGCCCAAGCCGGGACCGCCCCTCGGGGAGGGCGCGGGGCGGGGATCTGTTCCGGATCTTTGAGACATCTGGGTTCCCTCCAAACCCACCCTCCCTACTGGGCGCGGCAGCCCCTGCACCCCACCTCCGGGTCGGAGACCCAGCATGGGGCCTGGCACACAGCAGACGCTAACTCAATGCACGGTAAATGGGCACATGCACCAACACAGCTGAGCCACCTGTAACCTTCTTCCTTCCTCCCACCTAACCAGCAAAAAAAAAAAAAAAAGGCACATAAACTAACATTTTTAAAAGACTTTCCACTAAGTGACACATCAATCAGAACATCCTTTTCAGAGTGGATACACCCCCTACCCATTATATGGAGGGTAAAACTGAATGCAGAGTGGTTAAGCAACTTGCACACAACTAGTAAATGGCACTGTCAGGATTTGAACTCAGGTAGTAGTGGGTCTGGGCGGAACCCTCACCTAAGCCGCAAGGCAAGGGGGGCTGGGCCTCATCCCAGCAAATGTAGCAAGCAGAACTCTAGACCTCTGGGATTGTTGCTTCTACCTTACCCAGTACAGCCTTTCCTTCCTTCTTTTTGGAGAAAAAAATGTTTTTAAATCTTAATTTTGACCAAAACATAAAGTCCCATTTCCCTCTCCCTAGGGGCAACCACTTCTATAAACATCTTTTAGCTGATGATTCAGGGTTTACCTCCAACAAGCCCCAGTTGCTTCTTAAAGTATTTTTCTTTTTTAAGTACTATCTGTTGACTCCCAGGGGTGGGGGGAGGAACAGAATTTGAGTGTCCTCCCCCACTCCCAGGCTCCTTCCTCATCCCTCTGCCTTCCAGCTAGAGATAGCCAATCTGTGGGCTAGAAGTGCTATTTAGGCTGGCCCAGGCCACTTCTCACCTCCACAAAGTTCCCTTTGCATCCCAGATCTTCCCTCCCCCTGCAGCTCCAAGCAGTGACAGTAAAGAGTTGAAGACCCTGTCTCCACTGTGCAGGGCTCCCTCCCACCCCCAATGTTTCAGTCTCCTCATCTATCAAATGGATAGATCAGTTGCTGGGGTCAGGGTCTATGCATGTGAAAATAGCACAGCTTGTAGCTGGGTACGTGTAAGTTTTCTGCCTAGCCCCACAAGAATCACCCATCTCAGCCCCTCCTAGAGCCCACCCTCTATTCAATCAGAGTGCTATTTATTCACCTTCACCCACTTACAACTTGCTCCACTGAAGGGGGAATGTGGGTCAGATAAAAGGCTAAGTGAGAGGGTAAGGATATTACCATCCACCTTAACCCATGTGTTGACTTCATTTTCAAATCCAGCCAGCTCACATCCAAGTGAAATAAAGGCCACGTTGCACACACAGAACCTGGACCCCAATTCCTTTCATCCACATCTCGGAATAATTTCTCATTTCTGGTCCTTAACCTCTCACTAAGGGAACCCAGTGAGGGAGGCATTATAAGGATAATAATCCTTTATAATGATATAAGAAAAATAGAAAGGGACTTGTAGCCTAGGCCTTGAAGGACTGAGAGGATGGAGTTTGGGAAGAAAAAGCATTCCAGGGGAGAGGACAACAGAGCAAAGGGCAGGCAAACACAGGCCACATCCAGTGATTAACCAGGAGTCCCCATCTGAAACACAGGAGCAAAAGGAGGCAGACAGGGTAGGGTGGCAAGGGTCACCCCGGCCTGTGTCCCACACTAAGGAAAGATCTGGAATGTTATCTTGGAGTCCCAGATGGGTGCCTGGTAAACCCAGACCTGGGCCGGCTGAACTTGGGGTGGCCTAAATTCAGAGAGCTCTCCCTGCCTCCCAGCCATTTGGAGGATGATTAAAAACCCCACAGCTACTATAGAGACACAGACCGGTTTCTCCTCACCTCCCTGGATAGCAACACTGGCCAAATTCAAGACACACAATGCAGCAACAGTTCCACTTCCTACAGAATTACTTAACAAAAGACACAGAAATATACGTGCAAGGATGTTCACTGAAGCATTGTTTGAGCGAAACTGGAAAGGACTCAAATATCTTGGTTAAATCAGTTATGGAGCCACCACACAATGGACCACTATGCAGCTGTGAGAAAGGAATGCGCTGGGTCTGCTTGTGCCTGGCACGTAGTAGGCACTCAGTAAACACCGGGAGACCTCCAGGTGCAGATAGGAAGTGCACAACAATGGCTATAGCACAGTCTCTCTCCTCCTTTTTAGAAGGTGTCTGTTTTTGCATATACCTGTACAAAAATCAGAGGGTGAACACCAAACTGTTAAGGCAGTTTGCCTGAAAGAGAGGAAGGGGGATAATTTCACTCTGGAACACTGCCATGGCTGCCTAAAGCTGGAGGAAGTGCCCAAACCACTGCAATTGGCATTAAGGAACTATTTAGGGTGTTGAAAATGTGCTAATACTGGATTATGGCGATGATTTATAGAACTAATTACCTCTATTAAAAATCATAGAATTTACAAAGGGTGATTCTTTATGGTATGTGAACTATACCCCAATATTATTATTGGCTGAAAAAATTGTAGAAAGCATTGCTGAAGGGTTTGAAACTTTACAATTGTATTTCCAATATCGTTTTATTTTGTTTTTTATAAAACACTAATCCAAAAATAATGTCTTTTAATAAAGTGTACTTATAGTGATGCCTGCTCATTAGACAATTTGGAAAATTCAAACAAATAGGAAAAAGAAATTTCCTCATCTGCCCAGCCTCCAGACTCGACCTGAGCCAAGCTGAGGTCAGTGTGGCCCCGACCTGCCCAGTTGGTGATTAACAGAGGGCTGCCTTGGTCCCAGGGGTCACAGACCACCCTGGTCCTCGAGTTAATGATCACAAAAGCTGTGCGATTTTTGTCTGCCATATCCCTGGAGCCTGGGTCCTTGGCACCAGAGAGCTACTGAACAGGCTGGTTCTCCCCTCTGAGATCCCTCACTATAGAATACAACTTTGAAGACCACCAGAGGGTCAGCAGTGTCTTACTCTGCTCCCTGCCCAGAAGAGGATGTATGAGTTGAGGAAAACTGGAAAAATCTGGTGCATGAGAAAGAGCCCCAGGTGGAAAGGAAGAATCCCATTTAATGCTAGGGCTGACTCTGTTACTGAATTCCTGGGTGACTTTGGACAAGTCACTGTTCCTCTCTGGTCCTCAGTGTATCCATATGCAAAACACAGGGTAGGGCCTGATGCTCTGACTCTAAGCCTCTTTCCTGGCCCCAGCACTTCCAGATTCTGATTATGTAAACAGAACCTATAAGTCTCTGAGCCTCAGGGTTCCCATCTGTAAAATGGGGGCAGGGCCTTGACCAGGTCACTCCAGGGGCCTCTGCCTTGAGGAAGGAGATGCTGCAGTCACCAACAGCAACATGCCACCTCACCTCTGGGCCCACACAGGAAAACTGAGACTCAGGGGGGTTCAGCTCACTCAACTGGAAAGAGGTGTTACTGAGATTCAAACACATGCCTGACTGGCTCCAAACCTGGCATCTGTCTAGGGAGACCAAGCAGGACTTCCTGGCATCACCTGGCCTGCAGCAGGGAGCAACCGAGTCTTTTCCAGGTAAAGGGCTGCAGCTGCTATTCCAGTCAAGCCCAAACCAAGCCTGTCAGCTAGGAGTCCGTGGGACAGCTGTCCTCACTACACTTTCCAGGCCAAGGAAGACAGTGGCACCAGGAGAGCCTTCTAGACCTTCCCACATGTAATGTGAGTGCCCAGGACAAAGGCATGTCTTAGGAAGATCTCCAGGCTGTGGTCACCAAGTGGAGGGCAGACTGGGGCATTTATACTCTGTGCCACCTGGACTCAGTATGTGAGTACATCCTAGTCTCTGCCTTTCTCTGCATCTCAGAGATCCCCTTGACCTCTGACCTTAGCTGCCCTGGGTCCTGCCCAGCACCATGCACATAGGAGGCAGCTTTTAGTGTCTGCCACAGGACCAAGCTGTACAGCCCACGTCCCTCAGGTGGGCACCTCGCTGCCCAGTAGTTGGACCCAGAACCTCCACAGATAGCTCCAGGCCCCCCTTCCCTCTGCAACCCGAGGCTATTCTATCTCTGTGGGCCTCTCAGGGCAGCTACCTCACCCTCTCCCTCTGGCCCTGGCCACAGTGTACAAAAGGCCTTGGCTGGGGTTGGAAGACACCACCCTGTTCTGTTCTCCTCACCCCAAACACTGTTGTTCTTGATTTTTCCAGGCATCAGGCCACTCGTGGGAAGCCCTCTCTCAGAGTCTATTTGCTTTTTGGCTCACTGCTGTTGTCTGGGTCCTCCCAGGAGCAGCCGCCCCTAGCCTGGGATTTTGCTAATTGGGACAATGGTCAGTAAACAGAGAAGCCAGTTATGAAACCCTGTGAAACTGGACAGGGTGGATAAGTGCTAGGGAGCCCTATGGGCTCAAAAGACCACAGGTGTTAGAATCTAGCTAACTCAGCTCCTGTGGCCAAGGCCTCAGTTTCCACATCTATAAATGAGGAGAATGGTATCTAGCTCATGGAGCAGTGAAAAGGCCGAGGTCCTGACATACAATAGGTGCCCCAAAAGTTAACACTCTTCTTCCCAGGCAGTCTGGTTTCCGTGCACAGAGGCCTGCATTTGGCACGTGCAGTGGTGGAGGAGAGTTCAGGGCTGGACTGTGTGACAAGGAGCAAGTTACCTTCCCTCTCTGAGCCTCAGGACCCTCATCTGTGAACAGGGACAGTGATGCCCCGCTGCAGGAGTTTTGAGGGGACGGAGTAAGACTGTTAGAGTGTGTTGCTCAGAACAGGATTTCTTAGCAGCAGTTCAGCTTCTCTTTTGTAGATGATGACACTATAAACAAGAGGGTGACTTTTCCAAGTCACAAAACAAGTCCCTAGAAGAGCAGATCTAGAACTCTGGTCTCTGGACAACCAGGCCAGAGCTGAGGCCCAGGTCTCCACGGCACAGCCAGGCTCCCCACCATGGCCAGCTGGGCCTCTGCTTTAGCGAAGT